TATTTTCACTGTATAATCAATAGAGCCCCGCCCTAATACCAGAACCCCTGACCCTGGGGCCATAAAATTCACTTTTGGTAGAGGCACTCTTGCTCATCATAACTATGTACCTAGTTAGTTTATTTAATTCCCAGGAGCAGAGATTAAGAAGATTTTCAAAGAAATAATGCATTTTCACTACCTACTTATTTAGCCCCGCCCTAGCACTAAAACCCCTAATCCCAGGGCCATGAATTTCACAATTTTGGTAGAGGACTCATTGCTGATTACAATCATGCAAACAGTTTGACTGCTTGATGTCCAGGAGTAAAGAAGAAGATTTTTAAAGATTGCATTAATTTTAGTGGTTTTGGCCCCACTCCTCAGGCCCCAGGGGGGCAGGGATCATGAAATTCACAATTTTTGTTCCTTCACCCATCAATGAGTTGTGCCAAATTTGGTTGAAATTGGTTCAGTGGTTGCAGAGAAGCTGAAAATGTTCAAATGTTAACGCACGACGACGGACGAAAACAGATAGCAATAGGTCACCTGAGTTTACTCAGGTGACCTAAAAATTGTGAAATTAAGGGTTCCTGCTCCCCTGGGGCCTGAGAGGTGGGACCAAAACCACTAAATGCAATCTTTAAAAATCATCTTCTTTACTCCAGAACATCAAGCAGTCAAACTGTTGGCATATTTGTAATCAGTATTGAGTCCTCTACCAAACTTGTGAAATTCATGGCCCCAGGGTCAGGGGTTCTAGTGCTAGGGAGGGGCTATGTAGATTATATAGTGAAAATGCATTATTTCTTTGAAAATATTCTGCTCATGGTTATTAAACAAACTAACTAAGTACAAAGTTATGATGACCAAGAGTGCCTCTTCCAAAATTGTGAATTTTATGGCCCCAGGGTTAGGGGTTCTGGTGTTAGGGCGGGGCTCTATTGATTATAAAGAAAAAAAAATGCATAAATTCTTTGAAAATCTTCTTCTCTGTTCCTGGGTCATAAATAAACTAACCAAGTACAAAGTTATGATGAGCAAGAATGTCTCTTTCAAAACTATGAATTTCATGGCCCCTGGCTTGGGGGTTCTGGTGTTAGGGCGGAGCTCTATTATTAATGTAGTGAAAATACATTTATTCTTTAAAAATCTTCTTCTCTGCTTCTTGGTATCAATGTAGCTTACCAAGTACATGATTATGTTGAACAAGAGTGTCTCTTCCAAAATTGTGAATTTTATGGCCCCAGGGTCAGGGTTTTGGTGTTAAGGCGGGGCTCTAATGATTATATAGTGAAAATGCATAAATTCTTTAAAAGTCTTCTTCGCTGCTCCTGGGTATTAAACCAATAAACTATATACATAGTTATGACGAGGAAGGATTCTTCTTCCAATTTGTGAATTTCAGGGCCCGTGGATCAGGGGTTCTGAGTGTTAGGGTGGGGCCCTAATGATTTTATATTGCATGAATTCTTTAAAAATCTTCTTCTCTGCTCCTGGGTATTGTGCCAATGATTAAAGTACATATATACTCAACAAAAAAAGAAACGCATATTGTTTTACTCGTAAAAGAAATTTTCAAATTATGCATGGAACAACTATCTTGTATATCTTTGGATACCTGTGACCCTTTTGAAGCACAACATGGGGATTTAAAACCCAAGTGTAAAATTATCTCCCTTGATTGAACATGTTTATAAAAGTAATGTTTTTCAAAATTTCTTCTAAATCGGATGTCTATATTCGTTGATATTTTGGATTTAGAGAAACAATTAACACTCCTATTAAACCCATATTTAAGATTTGATTGAAGTATTGAAGTATTGATGCTACAATGCCACGCCGAAACAAAGATGAACACAACCAGGCTAACGATGATACTAAATAGAGCTACGCAACAGAAAGTTGCAACTGCATTTGGAATACATCAATGGGCTTTGCAACTATTAAACTAATGTCGGAAGACCAAGAATTGACCGTCTGCAGGTAACCACTTCCAGGCAGGACCGTCAGACCCCCCCCCCTTTCAGCACCTCAAGCGATTCATAACTTGCTGTAAAAACTGTTGCTACAATCGCTGAATGAAAAAATCAGCGTAAATGTGCATAAATTGTTCCCAAGAGACTGAAAGGAGGTGGTATTCGTGCATGATATCCGTACATTGGAAAATCACCAGCACTTAGACGTCACAAGGATATATGGATTGGTTAAGGCGTTATGCCCCTTGAATTTGGAGGGGTCGACAATGACAAAAACTGCACTTTTCTACTCACAACACAGGATATGTTTAATTTCTATTAAAACCCTCTAAAATCACTTTTAAACCAGAAGTCTCTGTCGAGACTGAAGCTCTACTGGTTTGTACTTATAGCAAAGGAAGAGAAAAGTACTTAAGCAGTTGAAAATTGAAACTTTTCAACAGCAATAAATAGAATAATGATCCTTGATTAAGGTAGATCGCGGGTTTACTGTCTGCCTGAAAACATACTCTGAAAATCTGTCAGCATAATCCTCTCGTTTCAAATTTTACTTTCTGAAATTTGTTTGAGATTCGTCTGCGAGGTTATATTGTTATTGTATTTCAAAGGCACTAATGTTGATGAGAACAGGTTACGCTATTACAATGAAATATATATAGTAAATGCGCCTTTCTCGTCAGTAAACGCATTTCAAAACCATGCTCATAATATGAAAACGGCACAGACGAATTTAATATTACTCAACAAAATGAATGCGAGATAAATTTAGAATCGATCTATTAAAAAAAATTAATATGTGTTCTCGCTCATTTTCTCGCAAAAAAACTTTAAAGTTTTACAAATTGGTAACAAACGTATATAATTTCATTAAGACATTATATAACGTTAGTGCGACGTCACTATTTTCATACGTCTCAAAATCACAATGTAATTAACAATTCACTGAAAATAAAACATGTTTTATCCGTATTTTCAATTTTTAATTGATTGATAATAAATGTTTATGTAAACATTGTCATAATTTACCTATTAGAAATTGTCACACTTTTTTTCAATGATCGAAATACAGAGTCATGTTATTTGTTTTCTTGATAAACTCAAGCAGTGCTGAAAAGTTAAAACAAATCTTCAAATATATATGAGAACAAAATTATTGATTAATCCTTAATTTCTTATTACACATAAATAAATATTTTTACAGACAAAAGAACTTTTATGTTTGTTTTATTTTATAACGCATACTGATGGAAATAGTTTTTGCTTGTTTGTAGTTTGATACTGTAAACGTAGTAATCTTTTACGTCGAATCCTATTGTGACGTCAGCAAACCCGCGATCTACCTTAAGTCTCTTTATGTTCTTAGTGCAGTCTACTTGCATTCCACATTTATATTATAATCAGACTAAAATTGTATTTGGAGTAGCATTTTGAAAGAATTTCACAGAAATTTCTATTTTTAGTAACCATGGCAACACCGTTCATCGAAATCAAAAACCGATACACAGAATTATGTATCTTATTGTAGTCTACTTGTGTGCCAAGTTATATTGAAATCAGACTAAAACTGTAGAAGGAGTAGCATTTTGAAAGAATTTCAAAGAAATTTCTATTTTTAGTAACCAAGGAACACCGTTCATCGAAATCAAAAACTGTTAAACAGACTTATGTATCTTATTGTAGTCTACTTGTGTGCCAATTTATATTGAAATCAGACTAAAACTGTAGAAGGAGTAGCATTTTGAAAGAATTTCACAGAAATTTCTATTTTTAGTAACCAAGGCAACACCGTTCATCGAAATTAACCAGAAGTCTCCTGGTTTGTACTTATAGCAAAGGAAGAGGAAAGTACTTAAGCAGTTGGGAATTGAAACTTACGCTAGCAAAAAAGAGAATAATGATCCTTGAATTAGTTTCTTTATGTTCTTAGTGTAGTCTACTTGCATGCCACATTATATTATAATCAGACTAAAACTGTATTTGAAGTAGCATTTTGAGAGTAACAGAAATTGCTATCTTTATTAACCAAGGTAAAAATGTTCATTGAAGTCAAAAACGGATAAAAAGAATTATGTACCTTAGTGTAGTCTACTTGTATGCCAAGTTATATTGAAATCAGACCAAAACTGTAGGAGGAGTAGCATTTTGAAAGAATTTCACAGAAATTTCTATTTTTAGTAACAACACCAACATCGTTCGTCGAAATCAAAAACCGATACACAGAATTATGTATCTTAGTGTAGTTTACTTGTGTGCCAAGTTATATTGCATTCAGACCAAAACTGTAGGAGGAGTAGCATTTTGAAAGAATTTTACAGAAATTTCTATTTTTAGTAACAACGCCAACACCGTTCGTCGAAATCAAAAACCGATACACAGAATTATGTAACTTAGTGTAGTCTACTTGTGTGCCAAGTTATATTGAAATCAAACCAACACTGTAGGAGGAGTAGCATTTTGAAAGAATTTCATAGAAATTTCTATTTTTAGTAACAACGCCAACACCGTTCGTCGAAATCAAAAACCGATACACAGAATTATGTATCTTAGTGTAGTTTACTTGTGTGCCAAGTTATATTGAAATCAGACCTAAACTGTAGGAGGAGTAGCATTTTGAAAGAATTTCACAGAAATTTCTATTTTTAGTAACAACGCCAACACCGTTCGTCGAAATCAAAAACCGATACACAGAATTATGTATCTTAGTGTAGTCTACTTATATGCCAAGTAATATTGAAATCAGATCAAAACTGTAGGAGGAGTAGCATTTTGAAAAATTGTTTACAGACAGACAGACAGACAGACGGACGGACGCCGGACGCATTACTATCGCATAAGCTCTTCTGGTCTCTGACCAGTAGAGCTAAAAATAAGGATTAAACTGAAAACACAGATTATTATGTTTAATCTGATTATGCGTTTCTCTTTTTGTTGAGTATATATGATGAAGAAACGTGCCTCTTCCAAAATGATTAATTTCAGTGCCCTGGCTCAGGGGTATGGGGGGCAAGGGTACTTCCCCTGCGAGGTGAAATTCATGATTTCAGGAACTTTTATGAATTGTTCATGAACATTCATGATGTGTTCATGACTGGTTCATGACTGGTTCATAAAGATGGTTCATGAACTTTATTCATGAATATATTCATAAAATGTAGTTCATGAACAAATGATGAATATATATGAATATTGGTTATTTTCATTTTAAAGACAGAAAAAATGTAGAGTTCAAGGTATTATGAATGTTCATGAATTTTCATGAAGACTAAAATAATTGACAAAAATGATTGACAGAAAACCCTCAATACTCTCATAATGCAACTTTTGCATGCAGATGCAATTGTTGAACAAGCCCCTGGTATAATATATGTTTAATAATAATTCTTTCACCACCTGAAAAAATAAATCATGAAATCTCTAAACATTTAGTGTTTTTATTTGATTTTAATTAAACAAACACTGCATCACAATTGACAGCATTTTTTTTTCAAATTCATTACTTGTGTTTCTTCATAATTTAAATTAAACAGTTATATTCATCATAATGTGCTTTAATTAATGTCGTTTTTCATCACACAACTTTGTTCGACCGAATTTTCTCTAACATCAAACTTTAAACAAGTTGTTGGAAAATGAAACATTCTGGAAAATGAACTTTGTGAGCTTTGTAAAAAAACGTTTTATATATTTATTAACGACTTAAAAATGATATCACTTGTCTGTACTGTACCGTATTATTCCTGGATCGAAACGCTACATACATTTCAATTTTGGTGCAGTTAAAATGTCAAAAGTTTCCCTTGCTTCGTGTGTAAATGATAGAGCACAGACTGCATGGTTGTAAAGTATCTATGATTCACATTCGTATTTTGTAGTTTTAATTCGCCTATGCGTCTTCACAGCTCAGAATATTCTGTCTGAGGGCGAGAGATTGTTATTATCATGTCATAGGGGGCCGCCATACTTGCTATACGAAACTAAAAGTCAATACATGTATAATTTATGACCTAAAAAAATCGAATTCTTCATTGATAAAACTTATTTTGATATAAAATATTGTATTTTCAGTGAAAAGTTATTCAGATAGTGTTTGTAATTTTTTTTTTAAACAGAAATCTTGGAAATTCGAAACTAAGGTATTTCTTAGCTCTACCGTACATTTTTGAATAGGCGCAAACTTGAAAACGCGCGAGACGTTGGAAGTGGGAATTTGTAGTGTGGAAGAATCAGTATTTGTGATCTATTATTTGCATAGTCACTGTGCCGTTTTCGAATTGCATAATTTTATTTCGATCGGGTTCAATATTCTGTTTATACTAATTATGGTAGCCATGCGGTTTGCCTGGCGTTTTGGCTGTGAAGTTTGGTGATGTTGGCCTCCCTAAGGAGTAAGTTTTATATTGTTTTACTTGAATTTATATCTAACTTGATCATCTGTATCTAACAGTATTATGCAATATATTTTATCATGTTTAAATTCTGCAACTACAATGTTTTGTAAAACCGCGCATTTCCAGCATGCGATAGGCATAGGCCTGTTCAGCTCACATGTTAAAGTTACGCATTTAATTTTGTATGATTTCTTATGATTTTGATATTTTGTAAAATTCTTATTATGCTTTTGTAATTTGTAGATTTTCACCCTCTCACAAGGTGTGTCCAATAAACAGTACAGTCACTGATCTTTGTCAACTTTTAAAGAAAATAACAGAATATGAAGAAGGAAGACTATATATAGGATCGATCTACTTCATAACTGGTGAGTGACAAAAAATGGAGACAATCACTGAGTCAGAAATCTGTCTGTAAATGTTACTGTCTATTTGTAAAATAACAACTAATTAAAGCACATTATAATAAATTAATATGTCTTTTTTGTAATGCAATTTTTGTCTAACTTTGCTTTGAGTTTGGATCCAACCATATAACATACATTAATTATAGACTGAGACTCAAAACATTCATAGGCCTGATTGATCTACAAAATGGTGGTCCAAGAAATTAGGCTTAAATTCCGAATGTTTTAATTTGGAAGTGTCTCTGATGCAAAAATAAATGAATCTAAAATGCAAGAAAATACAAAAAAAGTATTATGTTTTACAATCATGGGTACTTTCAGAAAATCTTTCTTTTTGAAAGAAAAAGAGAAGCAGTTCACAAATGTTGATGAGCAGAAGAGAAGAAACTCTGGCTGCACAAAAATCTGAGCTCTTGAAAAAGAAACAAAAAAAAGAAATGAAAATATGAATGATATTCAATCAAGGGATCCAAATGATGAAATTCTGGAAATTCCACGTGGAGAGACAATAAGGATTTTTGAATTGACCATCTCTGCTCGAACTGATTGAAAGCACTGAAAACTGTTTCCCTGGTGCTGAACAAACTTTTCTCCTAGACTGGAATTAAAAACTGTTCAATTTCTGGCATTAAAACACAATTTGAAACATGCTGAGGAAGGATCCCCCTCTCCTTTTAACCAAGTAAGGTTAAACATTCTGCAAAGAGTTACATTTGAATTGAATTTTTTTTATACTTTTACCAGGAATGAACTACATTACTCATTTACTATGGTTTAATGTGTCAGATTGTCTATTTTAATTTTTTTAACAAAGATTTTGTTGCCATGGTTGGAAAACAAACAACATTTCTGTAAAATCTTTCAAAATGCTCTATTATAAATCATCTACTGTTACTTTTTTAGCATGACTTCATGCATTTTCATGAATAAACATGAATAATAATATTTCATTTTTTGTTTACGAATAAGCAAGAATATTCATGAATGCTAATGGTTCATGAATTTTATTCATTCATGAACATTCCTGAAAAAATTCATCAAATTATTCATGAATAGTTCATGAAGATCCTATGAACTTATTATTGGACATTCTTGAAATGATGAATCTTCATGAATATGACTCTTCATGAATTATTCATGAAAAAAAATATTCATGAATGTTCATCAATTTTCTTTCATGAATAAAAATTCATGATTTGAAAATGTCCAATAATAAGTTCATAGGATCTTCATGAACATTTCATGAACATTTCATGAATTAAATTCATGAAAAATTCAAGGAAATTCATGAATTATTCATGATCGTCTCGCAGGGGTTAGTCTTAAGATAATTTAATACTTTGAAATCTGCTTTTTGGTTTTGATCAACCATTTATGAATAAAATTTTCAAAATTTTGAAATATGTGGCCTCAGGGCCGGTGGCTCTTGTGGGAAGGGATTATCAAAAGATGGTTGTTAACATGATACTCAGGTCACCTATAAGGCCCGTGGGCCTCTTGTTAATCAATGACCACAGCTTATTTCTTTTATATCACTTAAATCAAGTCTTGATTGAATAATTCACCAATGAAGTTTTATGAAATGAATAAGCGCTTGCTTGTTGTTAGTTTTATTATAAAATCCCAGTTGCTTAATTAGATCCGCCACCACTTTACTCTCTTCAGTGCTATTTTGACGCTGTTATTCGAAAATAACTATATTAATAAAAAAGATCCCATAAAATCAACACAAGCTATTTTCACCGAATATGCCAAAGATCCTAATTAAGTTAGATCCGAAATTTCTCAAGTGTCTGCTTGAATCACTTCCTCACTGATATCCCATGAAATTCACAATAATAAACAAATAAAATATGGCGTTATGTTAGAGGGTAGCCAAATAAATGGTCATGTCAGTCACGAACGGATTGAGCTGGTTCTCACCATTTTTACAAGCTGACAATTCGCCGGCGCTGTGGGAATCGTCTCGGGCACAGTCCACTGCATGCAACTATTAAATAATCAAAATAAGTGCTGAAAATGATCTTGATGCATTTAAAAATAAATATATATTATTACATTGTACAGCATACTCTGTAAATGACTAAAATTCCTGAATCGATCCCAAACGAGGAAATTCGGGTTGAAATCCATCTTTATGAGAGATGTTTAGAAGTGTTAAATTATTATAACAAAATTGAAATAGCGCTTGCTCAAACGATTTCACTGCAAGGCGTTTTATGTGTAGTGTCCTGACTAAGGAACAGTAGCAAAAGCAATTATTCATTCAAGGACAAATGTAAAAATATTTTGTACATTGTACCTACCGCAGTACCGGGTCGTAAAATGTCTTCATCTTCTGTCAAAACAGAAATTCCATCCATAGCTAGTCATGATTCTCCTTTTCGTGACACTCTCTTCCGAACTTTCCTTCTGTACAACATCAACTTGGCTGCGTGTAACCCACCAAAAATTTACATTTCGGCGCGGTGTGTTGTTTAAATTAATTGCTTTTTCGAGCCCGACGTAATTGTACTATTAGTCGACAGTTTTAGAGAAAAATCTGAGTTATATTCCATAGTTTTGAAAATCTACGTAAGAATTAAATAACTAGAAATGAATAAATAAACAAAGAAATAAAAAATAAAATAAATAAATATTTTTTTAAACGTTTCAACATAAGTTTACATAGCAACATTGGTTCAACAATGTCGGCCCAACATTACAAAGATGTCCATACTTCAACATTAAAAATATACTCTTCAAAAAAAGAAACGCATAGTAGGAACAATACCCTGAAAATTTGTGATAGTTTTCTCATACCTTTTATTTTCGTATGGATACAATGTATTCGAGTGAAATGAATGATTTTTTAATGCAGTTGTTAACTTTACAGCTATTCTACAAGTCTCACAGACTAAAAGACCTGATTTTGCAAAATTCCCCAAACAAATTTTATCTTAATTTTCATTTGTTGCTTTCTGATGCAATTCCTTCAGGTACAAAGGGGCTATCAAAAGCGGGGGTTCTCGATATTTTGAATCTGGTTTTATCAGAAAAATGACGCTTCCTAAAATTGCTGCATCTGAATGTTGCGTGGCACAAAAAGGAAAATGGACGACTGGAAGCAGGGGTACCGCAATCTACAATTGCAAGAGGTTTTAATGTTACACACAGACCATATCTAACCTATAAAACATAAACCATTAACATCGAACACCCAATGTTCGCAAAAAATATGGTAGACTACGTGTGACATCAGCAGCACAGCATCAATTTCGAGGATTACGCAAATTGCATGAATGTAATGCAAGGACGTCATCTAAAGCATTAGCTATCCCTGAACAGCACAGATCATCTAACAAGACCGTTTTCAGTTGACTACGAATTATTGCAAGAGGATTATTCATGTCATTGTTCCGACCCCACAACACCCCAAATATCGACCTCAAAGATCTCAGATGAATAGAGTATGACCACAGCGTTTATCTGATAGCCTCTTATAAGTTAAAGCATGCTAATGCTTTTTAATGAAGGTTAGATAGATAACTGCCTCCAGGACGTTAAAAAAGTTGGTGGTGGTAATGTAATGATATGGAAAATGGTATTATAAGAAAATAAGATTGATTTGGTTCGAATTCAATAAACTTTGATGGAAAAAGGTACTCTTACCATGTTATACCTACACATACCCATTCAATTATGAAGCATCCAAGAGCTGTATTGCAATCTCACAATACACAGCCACATATGGCTCGTTTGACACACCCATTCTTGCAAAGAAACAACAACCTGTTTCAGTCACAGTCATCTAAATCGCTAGATTTAATCCAAATTAAGCAGCATTGGGCAAAATGGATTGACATGATTTGCCAAAAACAATAGCATCCCCAGACTATGCAGCTGCTGACTAAAGTTCTACATTTGGAGTGGGAGAGTATTCCTATACAGTTTTTAATACACAAATTTGCTTCCATTAGATGCCGTATGTGGCTATCATTTGTGTCTGCGGGGGGCATACCAGAAATTGATCTTTTATGGTCTTAAACTGACTATAATTTTAAAATTGTTGAGTAATTATGGCATTTAGATAGTATTCCTGTTGCATACCACATTTCTGTTTTATCAATGCATCATTTTACGAAATAATCTTTATGTTCAATGTGTCACTAAAATTCTACGATGCGTTTCTTTTCTTAGAAGAGTATAACAATGTTCAGGCACGTAGCAACGGGGGGGGGGGGGGGGGGGCTGGGCCTATAGTGAAATCAAGGAAAAATAGCCAAAAAATTGGAAGTGAAAGGAAGTTGGCCTTGAAAAATGTTGGCCACCACCACCCCCATCCTTTTGCTTGTCAACTTTTTCAGGTAAGTAAAAAAAATTCTATGGTTGCCCCCCCCCCCCCACTTTTGAGAACGATGCTACGTGCCTGATGTTGGCCCGACGTTGGAACAATGTCAGTGCACCAACTGTTGTAATTACAATGTCGGACCGATGTTGGTACAATGTCAATGCAACAACTGTTGTAATTACAATGTCGGACCGATGTTGGAACAATGTCAATACACCGACTGTTATAATGACAATGTCGGACCGATGTTGGCCCAATATCGTTCTGCCAACCGCGATATGTAGCCGATCTACCAACCACATGCCAACATCGGCCCAACGTCAGCTTGCTATCTGGGTTAACTGTAATTATAAGAAGAGCCCTGTCTGCATTCCCTTGAACTGAAATTGTAATGATATTTTCAAACGTGTAAACGAAAACATTTTATCGTATTCTGTATATCAATGTAAAACAGACAAGAGGCCCACGGGCCTTATAGGTCACCTGAGTATCATGTAACAACTTTCCAGCGATTGTATTTGGTTCTTGTTTTAATCCAAAAGCCATGAAATTCACAAATTTTGAAGGAGGCACCATTGCTTATCAAAGGGCAGATTTCAAAGCATTAATTTATTTTTAGTCAAAGTACCCCC